GCCACTACCGACAGTCTTGCGAGCGGGTCTTGAAATATCCACAAAAGATTCATCAGAAGAAGATGTCTTTCGAGGTTTCCTTCCTCTCGAAGATGTACTGCGGCTCCTGCTTCTGTGACGGGATTCGTATTCTGACACAGCCGCTGTTCCAACTGCCACGCCCAGGGCCGCATTCCTCAGGGCAGCATGTCGCTGACTTCTAGATGACGAGCGGGAACGAGACCGAGAACGAAGGCGAGATCCTTCATATCTGCTGAGTTTCGAGTCCGAATGATAGGAGCTGTGATCGGTATGTTCCCGCGATCGGCTTCGATGGGTCCGTCTGTAGACTCCGCGAGAGGTCTGGCTTCGTCGACCAGCTGTGGAGGCGCCTTCACTTTCGTGGATTGAATGCCGAGAGCTCGCCACCTCACCCGTTCGAATGCTGTAAGACTCGTCGAACTCCTTACTACTGAAGATAGATTTGACCGCATATCCACCAAGTAGCCCGGGCAACCACGAGTTTCTCGACGACCTGTTGCGACGCCTTCCTTCATCCTCTGACGAGGAGTAGCGGCTTGCTTTATCAACACGTGATCCATTACTGTACCTATCAGCAGAGCGCCGGCGAGGTTTGTGGTTGTGCTTGCGAGGTGCGTCTTGAGATGTTGTGCCTGGCTCAAAGCAGTATTTGCAAACCCCGATAGATTCCGTATAATCCTCGAACATGCCGACACCTTCTGGGTCCTTCCAAAAGTTGATAAATTTGTCCAAGGGACCCTGTTGACGTTGTTGAAAAGCCAAACCACCGGATTGGAAAGGAGCACCATGGTATACTGCAGCATGATCGGGATGTAGCGGACTCGCCGCGTACCCGGCCGCCGCCGCCGCCGCAGGTCCTGCAGCAAAAGGCAGCATGTTCTGCTGAGGGGGGAACGCCGGAGTCTCCGGGTAGGCCGGGAGTACCTCTTCAAAGTTTTGCATGGTGTACTGAGAAGAATGGTCAACGTTTGCGGACTGATGGTGGTGGCTCATCATATAACCGGCCGCTGCACCGGCGGCGGCTGCGCCAACTGCAGCACCCGCTCCATGAGAATGAGGAGGCTTCGGAGGGCTCGATGCGGTGGGCGGCACATAGGTTGCAGGGGATTCCGAGATAGTGTGCCCTGGGGAATCCACAACCTCGGCTCCTGACATTGTCGTTGCAGTGGCGACGGCAGGTGGGCTTGAGATTCCCGCCGTCTGTACAGAGGGTCTTGGTGGTCTTGACGGTTTTGGTGGTTTCGGCGCAGAAGCAGAAGGTGGTTTAACGGGCTGTTCCATTCCCAACTCAGCGTCATCCATAAAGTAGGCCGCTGCAGCGCCTATCTGGCCCAGTTCACTTGGCTCTGGCGGCGGGTTTGCGGTGGGCGATGCTGTCATCAGATGCGCTTGGTCGCTGGGGGCTACCAATGGAGGTTTAGGTCGGACGCCAGGCTGGTCTTGGACTGACTGCCCCTGATCGCCGTAGTAATCGGCTGCTTCTCCTGCAGGGTTTGGCGGTTGGTAAGGCTCAGCAACGTATGCCGGGAACTGGCCAGGAAACTGCTGTGTTACATGAGGATCGTAGAATGCGGTTGCATGCGGCGGGCTGGGCATCGAAGTGGTTGGCATTGCCTCAGTAACTGGAGGGTACGAATGAGGACTCGCGGTGGCGAAGTCACCAGGAGAAGGAGGCATGCCCGTAGTTACTGGGGATGCATACAGATCGCCTGACTGAGTTCGTTGTCGTTCACGCCGATCGCCATCACGCTCACGCTCGCGACTCGGCGATCGCGCTCGTTCACGCCTGCGGGAGCTTTTCCCTTCTCCATCTCCGTTGTCTCGGTATCGATCTCGACGGTCGGTGGTGTCGTTTGAATCTTGACGCCGGGGCGCGCGTTCGATCATCACCCGGTCGGGTTCGATGGGGGTGCCCTGGTCTGCTGTCGCATAGCTCGAGGCTACCGACTCGCCTGCCACACTTGGAGCATAGCGCTTACTCCGACTGCTGGAGGATCGGTAGTTGGACAGATCACCCAAGCCACGATCACGGTCGTCACCCCGTGAGGACTTGCGGCTTACTGTGGAAGATTTCGAGTCGGTTCTGCGACGGCTGCTGCTCTTGGAGCTTGAGGAGCTGCGGACATCAGAAGACGAGCGACCCCCGCCCAAAAGGGCTTTGAACATGGTGGGCAGAGAGCGATCAAAGCTCTAGCGACTCAGGCAACCATGTGGAATAGAGGGTAGACGCGGTCGCCTAATCGAGTAATCGAACCAAGCAGAAATTGATTGAAAGGGAAAGAAGGGTAAAGGAATTGAAGATTTAAAAAAAGAATTCGTAACAATCGTAACAGGGTCGTTAGATGAGAAAGGAGAGACCGTATTAGCGAGGCGAAGATTGGGAGGAGGGTGGAAGGGAAAGTTAGGTGGTGATGGGGATTGAAGATGAGAAAGAAAGAGGCGGGCGGGTATAGATCGGCGGCGTTGTTTTTGCGACGGGCGGAGGAAAGTAAACAAGTGAACCGTGGTTCTTTTTTTCTCGGGAAGTCGGAGGGTCCCCCAAGCTGGAGCGGAGACCAAAAGGTAGAGAACCACGGTCAGCCTTCAACACAAAAGCAGCCAGCAGAAGAAAAGAGGCGGGCTGGCAAGCGCTCGGTTGCTCCAGACAATCAGCCACTAACAGCCTTAGCGTGATGGACCAAGATGGGGCAACGATGGATGAGCAACGAGAGAGTGTGTCCGTGTGTTTCGGGATGGTTTAATAATCTAATCAAGTATGAGACCATGGAAAATAACCCGAAAAAGAATGATATAAAATTGCATGAGATGAGATGAGATGCGATGACGATGATGATGAGGAGAAAATCTTCTTTAGACTTGCGAATCTGTGACGTGCTAAACAACCAGGAATGTGGGGTATGTTTTCGATCGATCAGATGCGGGCGGATAGTTTGATGGGTTGAAGCATTCATCGGATCTCTAAAGGGAAGATGGAGAATGTAGATGTGAGAAAGTACTACTTACAGTACAAGAAATTAGTTAGTTGGAGGTCATGGCACACTCAAGCCGCTTCTCTCGATCTTCCATCACCTGCGAGGGATTCAGCGAAAATGCGAGGGAATCGGAAGGAAATTGAAGAAAACTCGCGGTGAGGCTGGGGAGGGTGGCCGGGGAGTCCCGGGCACGTGCTGGGGGGTCCCCATCGAAGAGGCTGGCTGGACCACGATTCATTCCTTCCTTCATAGGTTCTACCCTTCATGGACTGGCTCTCTTACACTTTCTTGCTGGGATCCCTCCTTCTTACTAGTCCCAACTTTCCCTCCCCCAAATCGCCCGATTGGTAACCACTTCAGTGGCTGCCACTTAAGCTCCTTCAAAGCTGATACGTCATATCGTCCCCATTCCCAGAGCTGAGCTGACTTCCATTACGCACTCACGCTTACTGAGCCCTGAGTAGTACCCTTCTAACACTGAAGAGCCCATATGTACATCCCTCATGCATACAAGTAGCTCACTTCATACTCTCAGCGGAAATAGGTAATATACTCACCGAACAAGCAAAATTAACCTCCTATTATTAATACCGATCGAGATAGAGATTAGTTTATCTGGCAGCAGGAACTCTACTTACCACATACGTCCAACATCTGCATGCAAGACATACCTCTCTAGCCATGGCCGTGCAGGTTCCTTCCGACTGAAACACTGAATAACAACAACAACAACAACGCTACTGGGCCCATACTATCCACGTTTCGGGAAATAAGAAACTACTCGTAAAGATATGTATACGCTTCCACTTGATTAAAATTAATTACATCCATTTTTCCACATCCCTACAACCAACTTACGATCGAAGATGGCGCATTTAGCGATCATTAGACACATTGGATACTAGCGGGCTAGTTAGTTAGCTAGATCATCAGCCAAGTGCATCAGTTCTACCAAGCTGTAACTCGACCACCTCAACAACAGACCCCGAAACACCTCAAGAGACTCCATTTCAACATTTACTGGCAAAGGGGAGAAAATAGCAAAGTATCTACTTAGTCTGACTACTGCATGCTTGGGGTTGTCACGCATCTTAAATGAAAGCCCGATGATGGGCCGCTCAACCCACTCCCTTCCAATGAGTGAGTGACATGCAGCATTAGCTGAGACCATGACAACTGGCAGGACAAATTGATTAGCTGCATGTCATGCCAGAGACAGAAAAGGAGCCCACGGTGGTGCATATGAGCTATTCACGTTAGCAGCCGAGAGATGATCTGGGCGAATCAAACATTTCCCAATCGGGATGCCAGCGCATTTGGATGCTCTGGCCGAGCACCACTCATGGCGCCGACAACAAGCCCATGCTCGTTTGTTCTGGTGCAATGAACATTTGCCACTAAACTCTACATAGGTCACAGTGATACCTAGCATGGCTGATCATCCTGCCTAGTTCAAACCACCTGTCTCCAACGCGTCTTCAACTTTCATCGGCCCGTCTCCTTCATGAGGGAAATGGGGAGACAAAAAAATAAAAGGAGGTAAAACTTCTATCACCAAAAACAAATAGATAGTCATGCACTGTACGGCCGTAATTGGAATCCTCGAGTGTACTGTACGCGGGGTAAATCCTTGATCCGCTGAAATGCAATCAGACATCCCTCCCAATCCGTTTCCTGTCTGCGAACAGCAGGATGCAAGTCGACGCCACTAGGAACTCCAAAGAAAAAGCAAAATTTGATCCCACAGCAATCCAACCCCCAGAAATAACAACGACAGAAAACTGCCAGAACTATGACGGTAATGTTAATCTCAGATAGCCACCTCTCCCTTTCACATGCATGGCACAAAGAACATAGATGCATATCACAGACGCTGCGAGAAATCACCAATTATCAACGAGGGGGAAACCGAGCCAGCCAGCCACCATGCAGCTCTCCCCGTATATAACATGCTGCATCACAATCCTAATCGGGAGAATGTGGTCTAGTATCCTGTGGAGAAAGATGCAAGGAACATTCCTTTCCCGCTAACTGTATCGACCCGCAAAATTCATGTGAAGAATAACAAAAAAGCAAAATCTGGTGTATGGGGCCAATTCTATGCCTCGGCCCAGAGGCAACGCAGAATTCTCAGCCTCTGTTGTCAGTATAATTACGGAGCCACGATATCGGCTGGCTCTCCAAAGATCTTCTCATATATCTCGCTGAGGATCTTTGCATCGGCGCGTAGGGTTGGCGATATCTCGCGGCTTTGAAGGAGGAAGCGTATTGTTCGCTTAAGCAAGCGATCAAGGTCATTCCGGTCAACCAACTCTGAAAGACTCGACATATACGTGGCTGACAATACAAGCATGTTACCGAATTGACTAGCAGAGAAACAGAAAGGTCAGCGACACCACTATCCGATTTCACGGCCTTTATTGAACTTCACTTACGCATGAGCTGTGCCGAAGATATTAGTTACTACCGGCCGACCTTTGATGCCATCAAAAGCCTCGGTACTCAATATGGCGGAGTCTATGCACACTTTGCACGCCCTTCGTAATTTCGGGTTGAGATCGCGATACGCAAGTGCTGGTCGCGAAATTGTCGGAACGGGGGTTGGCGTCGGTGCCGATCGACCCATGGTACCAACATCACTAGACAATCGCGCCATATTGATAGCACGTTGGCTGTGCGCCATTGAGGGCGAGACCTGCTGCGACTTCGCTCCCGACATCGCTGATCCGGTAGGAGAGTCCACTGACGCTGATCGACCATTTTCGGCAGGATGCGAATGATGCAGAGCCCAATAAAGGAGGGGACGATGGATAATGTAGCGTGCGCCGTAGTATTTAGCTCGCATCCGAGCAACATTGATGTCCTCATGTGGAGGGTCCGCGTCCTTCCACCTCATTATGTCGGGTAAGCTGCTTCTCCACAATTCAAGGTTCATGCTCAGGATCTCCTGTACGTTAGCAGACCACCTGTTCTCATTCTGTTCTGTAAAGAGGCGTTAGTACAGCCAAGGGCCCCCGCTTGCCTCGAGTCAACTTACTTTCGACTTTGTATAGATCGGTGTGAACACGGTTCAGAACCTTTCTCAAATGGATCTGGGCGGAGTAAAAGAACATCATCATGGTGTTCGGAGCAGCAGGGTCGTTGGGCAAAGAGAGAGTTCGGCCCTTCGGCAACTCAATCCGTGCTTCCGCGCGAGATATACCACTAGCCGGAAGATCCAGTTCGGCAAGAATGTCACTAAGAAACGACTCATAAGTACTTCTGGAGCGCATAGCGAGAGCAGCGTGCTTACCTCTCGAGCTGCAGGCAGGTCCAGTACGCAAAGTTGTATAGGTCTTTCAGCGGGCCGTCATTCATTTGCTCATACCGTTTCCTAGGACTGATTAGCACGGGATTCCCAGGAGGAAGAGGAGAAAAACGTACGATCGGACAAGCACTTGGCATGCTCTGGCCGCCTGGTAGATCCATCCATGGCTCTGGAAAGGATGTGCTAGCTGCCCCGCATAGAGTCCTGCTAACAAGGCTGCTTGAACATGATAGAGCCCGTTCGCGCCTTGTAGACTCCCCAATATCTGTGCGGCATACGCATAATATGCCAAGCCAGGAATGACATCCACGTTCCGTAAGTGACTAGTATCCGGGTATGGCGACCGATCGGGAGCAGCCTTCTGCCCTCCGGTAACAGGTGAAAAAGAATGGTTACTTGTCTGCGAGAAGAAACTTCCCTGGGACTGCATAACTAATTCTGTATCTGCTGATGATAGCATGCTGCGTGTAGAGGGTCCAGGAATCCGCTCCTTCTGAAAGTCCACGGGCGTGTCAGTAACTGGACCAGGGATGGCTCCTTGAACTTCACAAATACTGCCAAGTGCAAGAACCAAGAGAACAATGGCATTTTCCAGTGACTTCTCCACGCGACGTCCGCTAGAGCCTTCGTGTTTGGCACCAGGGGGAAACTGGACGTCGCATCCAGCACCGTGTAGCGTATCGCATGAACGCTTCCTCTTCGCACCGCGTGGTATGTCACCGGCGGTATGGCTGTTCAGGATGTTTACCGGAACAGAAACGTCGGGTAAGCAGTATTTCTGAATGAAGGATTCGATGCTTGCGCTCAATTCGGTTAGGTTGATGAATGGATGAAGCTTATGCATGTGATTCAGGTAGCTTTGGTGATAACGACGAACGGTTTTGGCATCTGTGCTGAATATTCCAAAATCATCAATGCTGGGTCCGAGGGGTTTGAGATGAGTGCCATTTTGGATGGCGCCTGGGTTCCATTGGCCGCTAGCAGGAGCCCCATTGCTGTAATTTTGATCCCAGTTGGATCGGGACGATGATGATGATGATGAGAATGTCATTGCCGGGCTTTCACTAGTATCGTGTCCCTCACCGCGGCCGTAAACGAGGATCAATCCTCGCTCCTCTTCCAGCTTCATAACATAATCTTCGTCGTACTCTCTTGGTTCAAGAAGAGCCTTGATAGACGGCCACGAAAGCAACTTGTGGGCTGCAGTGGTATGCTCGACAGGAATTGAAAGATCACCGTCTTCGCCCTGCGGAATCACTTCCCCTTCGGCTCTTTCGAGCTCCTGTCCGACAATCGCGTTCATGTCTTCTTCTTTAGTTTCGGTCTTTTGTAAGATATCAGGTATATCCGCCTTCGATATCCGAGGAATTGCCGGCTTCTCTGTCGTCTCCTTGGTACTTATCGCTTTAGCCTCTTTCAACCGAGGATACAGCGCAGTAAGTTGGTTCGAGTGCTCGACCTGGAGGGCATTAATGCGTTCGATCTTTTCGTTGAGACCGTCTTCCAACTGGGAGATACGGTCCAGAAGAAGCTGTGTTGCCTTTTCTTGCCTGGATACGCCGTCAGCACATGTCCATCGAATTGATAGGAGGCATCAGTATCAGTTGCCGGATCACAGACTTGTGAGGGGGAACTTCTTTATAAACGCATATCAAGTTGTTCTCCTTGCAATGGCTACAAGCAGGCCGGCCTTCATCGCATTTGGCCTTTCTCGTTCGGCACTGATCGCAGGCCTTCAAAGGTAGCCAAAGATCACGAGTTAGCCAGGGTTCCCCGATATTATCTCAGCTGACATAGCTGCAAGGAGACAACTCACCTGTTGCGCTCGCGCGGCCTTTCGCTGCTGGCGAATCCCGTAAGCCTGGTTTCCGTAAAGACCTGAGTCGTACGGCGTAGGAGTATGCGACGACATATGCGGAACCGGAGTGGGATACTGAGTCGGGGGTAAAGTGTGGGCGGGGAGCGGAGCGTCCCCATTGCTGTGAGGCTCCTGAGGGGTGAAAGACATCCGCGAGCGATAGTCGGGGGGTGCTGAATGGGGAGCGGCCTCATGGGGGGTTCCGTTCATAGGACGAAAGCTGGGATGAGGAGTGGGGGCTTCCGGGGGGGTATGCACCGGACCAGGCAAGCTGCCCTGTCGGGCATATGGACCGTCTGGTGGGAGCTGCGGCAGCTCCCGGTTTGGGTTGATCGGGTATCCGTGGGGTGGGAGCGCAGGCTGAGGAGCATTCGATGTGCGACGCTGGTCCGCAGGATGTCCGTCATAAGAAGACGAGTATGGAGGGCGCCATGGCTGCTCGTAGACTGCTGGAGCACTGGGCGGACCATGCGATCCGTCCAGAGGTTGTACGCGATGCATTGGCGACGGAGGGCCAGAACCGGCAAGAAAGACTTTCTGCTTGTCGTTGATCGGGACGACGTCGGCGTTCAAGAGGCCCCGGTTATGGCCACTAATTGCAGGTTGCCGCGGATCCACGGTGGATAGTCGACTCAGTGGGATAGTCATACAGTCAGGAGGACATGATGTCCCAGACAAGCATCAAAAACTCAGTTGTGCGACCGGAGAGTATTGGGTGGAACGTGTGAACGCAGAAAGTTTCCGATTCGGGGAATGGACAGAATGGTACGAAAGCTAATGTCGGTGCTATCGAGCCGTGGTTCTTTGTTTCAGAGTCCGCAATATTCTGGTTACAGTGCTGGGCGCAACCGACGAAGCATGGAAAGGCTGGCGCGATTCAAGATTCAATGGGCGCGCGAGGAGGGGTAGAAAATCGATCAGCAAGGGAGCCTGACGCAAGCAGCCGGTAGCTTTTTTCAATAGTTAGCTAAACATGGATTAAGTAGGCGGCGGTCGGGAAGGACAACGGTCAAACGATCAGCGAAACCAAGACAAACAATAACCAGTTGAGGGGGAGCAAACGAGGGGAGGGAGGGAGGAGGGGGGTGGGAGGGAAAGCGGAGCGGAACAGGAGTGGCAGCGGTTAATAACAAAAGTAGTACTAGTAGGAAGTCATGAATAGTAGTAGCTTGAAAATAGCTGTGATGGGTGGGGAAAGGTGTAAAAAAATGACTGGAGAAAGGCAACGGCGCTGTTTCGTAATAAGAACAATAATAAGATGAGAAAATATAAGTCAAAGGATGATCATCAGACAAAAGCAGATGCAATAGCGTGCGAGGGCTAGAAGATAGTAATAGTAGCAGACAGGAAGTATAACTTGACAGGGGAGCGAAGTGAGTGAGAGTGAGAGGGGGGTGGAGGTGGAGGACAAGAAGAGATCCGCGCCGCGACTAAAAGGTAATCAATCAATGTCTGCGATGGACACACCGACCCTGGCTGGCCGGCAGTTGGGCAAACTACTAGTAGTAGTATCACCACAGTCAACCATCAACCCAGTAAGCAGGTACCCTACTACTGAAGGAGCGGTCATTCAGCAGGTACCGTCCTAACCACTCCTAGTAAGTAGTAGTCAAATACCACAAGTGATTTCCAGGAAACCCGAGATGACCTCGCCACGCAAGTCAATGGAGTCATCGGGGGTGACAGCCAGGATTCAAATCATACCGATACCAAAAATAACAAGAATTTGAAAAACGAGCCCGGGGTATATGACAGAGGCTGAAAAAAGGAAAATAACAGGAAAGAAATGTAAATGAAAATGAAAATAGGCAGTGTAAGATAATAAAAAGCAAACAAGTCAAAGCGAAAGAAAAGGATCGAGAGCAGAGGGGAGGAGGTAAGAAAAAAAGAAAAAAGAGTGGTATGTATACGTACTTGATCACAAGTGTCTAGAGTCGCCCCAAAGATAAATGGAACAATTAACTAGTCGGTAGTTAGTAGCAAGACGAAGTAGTGGTGATAATAATGATAATAATACCGCCGGGCGGGTTTTAGCACTGGTTCTGGCGCTTTCCGATTAAGTGGAAGGAAGCAAGTAGTAGTAGTATAGGTCGGGTGCGGTGATGGGGGAGTAGATAGTAGTAGTATTTCTTAGCTAAGGTAGCTAAGCCAAGCTGTCGGGTCGCCCGGTGCAAAAACAGGTCGATCGAACGGTGGGAAGCGCCGTAGTAGAGCTTTGTTGGCGGGTGTCTTTTTTCCTTAATAAGAAGAAAAAAAAGAAAAGACAGAGAGGGGGAAAAAAAAAATAAAAATAAAAAAAGGGTCGAGGGATTCGGAGGGGTTCCCTAAAAGACGGCCGGACGTCTGGAAGGAAAGTCGATGGATCCTCGAACGGGATTAAACTAGAAATAGCAGGTTGACCAAACCAGACTTCCCGTCCGGTCACTCTTGGAGGAGCGAAAAGTTAACTTGATCAGAGTCAGTCCGGAGGGCACTACTACCGGGAGTAGTAAGTGGTAGGTCGGCAGGAGTGGATTGATGGATGGATCTGATGGGTAAAAGGCGGAATCGAGTCTTGCGGGAACACCAAAATGATGAGAAGGTTAGTTAGGGGGTTATGAGCAAGAAAGAGGAGGAGAGATGGGAGGATGGAATAACTAATAGTCAATGGAAATGCAAATGACAAGGAAAATGAACTATCAAGCAAACGGCCAACCCAGCAGAGGCTGATAGGCCTTGAAGAGTGTGGCAGATGAAGAGGTCTGCTTGCCCCTCTCTTTTTCCCTTCTTTCCTGGTGGAGGGAGGGGGTTTATTGGGCCCATAGAACAGCCGGTGCGCGCAAAGTAATAGCAGTAGCTAGGGAATATGGGCGATTTGCTGCTCTGCAATTCCTTACAGATGATGGGAATGATGATGCTGATGATAGTTGAAAATGCGCACCTCACAATCTCAGATGTCTCCAGTGAACCGTCCAGATGAAGAACTGCTTTTCGATCCGCGTTTTCGTTGCTTTGGTTTCTTCCTCTCGTCTGATGTTTCGATTTTGCTTTCCTCTGGGTTTCCTTTATTTTCTTTTCATTTATTTTTTCTTTTTGGTGCACGCCTTCTGAGGGGACTGGGTCTTGTAACCCTGAACCAGGATCCTGGTTTGCATGAATTAACACAAGCCACCTGAATTGACAGATCGCCTTTCTAATTCGTCTGGGCAGTCCTGCTTTTTTTCTTTTTCCTTCTTTTTCTTTTTTACTCCTCCTTAAAAGAGTTAAAAAGAAAATAAGGGAAGCGAAAATCAAAAGGGCAAGCAAAAGACAAAAAGGGAAAAGAGTAGTAAGAATTTCCCTTCATTTTTTTTTCTTTTAATTTGAATTTCTTTTTCTTTTTCTTCTCACTTTTTTTCTTCTCCTCTTTGCTTTCTTCAATATCTCAGTTTCGGCCTCTGACTGCTGGTGACAGACCAGAAAACAAAAAGGGCATAAAGTGGAGCCGCAAACTGGAGCTGAACCAGGACGGGCTAAAATGAGATTCGCAAAATAAAGAAGAAATGAGAACCCACTTACAACCAGCTGTGGTGCGGTCTTGGAGGACTGAAGGAACTGACTGGGTACCGTCGGTTTTTCGATCTGTTGGGGGCCCGCAATCAGCTCCGGTCTTCCTCAGTGCCACATGGATGGGTGGACTGGAGAATAATTAAAGGCGCTCAAACACACACACACACCCAACGTCAACCGCTTTCCGTTGGCGGTGGATTACAAGTAGTAGTAGTATTCAATGGTGTACGGGTCCGATTGGGAACGGTTTCTCCTCGGGGGAAGGCTTAAAGATGGGTGAGCTGATTGTGAAATGATCGGTGCCCAATACTTCGAGGGGTAGTGACTCCCGTGGCCAAAGGGGAGGAGGTCAATCAATCTGAGTGGTGATGATGGTGTAAATTGAGGGGAAACCGATTATATGTTTCCGCCTGAGGGGAAGGAAGAGCCTGAGAGGCGACAGTAAATACGTAGGTCGTCCTCTTGTCCTATCACACAGCCGGTGAGTCGATGGGACACTCCTGACGACTCATAGGACTCTGGCAAGACAAAACTGAAACCAAGAGTGAAATCGGCAATCAGACAAACCAGCCACAGCAGATGGGGAAAGAATTCAGTTATCCCTCCCAAGGGCTGATTAGATGGATGACTTAACCAGGCGGTAGCACGGAAGTTTACTTGTGTACACACTCGAGACATGCTTGCTGTCAACACACACTCTCACTCACAGCCTCTCGGCTTCATTCTTTCGGTCTGTTGGTGCCCATCCTTCTCTTACTCCTGTGATTCGGCTTAATTCACCTGATTATTGGCAAGGGGGGTGTCCATTCCCCTATCTTCACCCACGGGACGGACTCAGATCTAGAAGTCAATTTGTCCCTGCAACGGTGTCCGACAGGAGTGCCCTGGACGGTATGCTACGACGATGAAAAGCCAAGCATTATTGTTTACCTGGATGATGGCAGATGAAAATGGTCAAAAAGGGCAGGAAGCGCACAGGACAAATAGGCCCTGACTCGGAGTATGAAGCCAAACGGGAATGAGGTATGCATGATGCGACCCAGGAGGGAGGGGGAAAGGGAGACCTGAACGACTACTACTACGACGACGACGACGACGGTGCCCCACGCAGGAGCAGAAGACGGTGAGCACCCTCCACCTTGCTCGGGTGTCACTTGGTCATTGGAATCAAGGGTTTGACTTGCTACGCCAATGTTGTGCGCTCAGATATGCACAAGACGGACTCAATAGAGTTCTGCATGGATTAAGGAGCTGATGGGCGCTTCTAAAAGGCGGAGAAGA